TTTTCAAATCGGAAAATCCGAACAATGCATCGTTTTGCAAAGTTCACTGCTGTTCAAACGCTGATTCATGATGAATATAGGAGAATTCATAAACAGAAAGGGCTGCCAGTTAGAACAGTTGTTATGCTATCGAATATATTTGAGAACAAGGGATTTTATGCTGATGATTAACGAAAATCTTAGCATTACTCTCAAAATCTAAAAATGTAGTTATAAAAATTATTAAAGCGTTGAATGTTTGAGTTTCGACTATTCATGCCTGAATCATTTCCAAACATGGGAAGAAACTCGATGCAAAGGTCAGCAATTTTTTTAGCCAGGCGTTAAATATGTGCCAATAATTCCAAAGCAATAGGAAAATGAGAGAGTTGTGTAGTATCAAAAAATTTAGTGATTAAGAGAACAGTCGTTTAAAATAAAAAGGAAGCTGCCGAGAAAAATACTAACCGCGCAGAAAGGAACGGGCTACCCTCTGATGAGCTTTGTTCACTTGGTTGTCTATCCGGTGAAGGAGGAGCACGAGCCTCTGTTATGGATTTTCTATCTAGCTCTTCGTTTGTATCCTCAGGAGGTTCACGACCTTCCTAAAGAACCTTTCTATGGAAAAGTTTGCTCACTCTCATGTCTCCAATATAAAAAATAGTCGTGTAAATTATAGAAAATTAAACTAGTAAGACAATTTTAAGTGAAATTTTTCCAATGTTCATTTTGTTCGCATTCTGATTGATCCGAACATTTCAAAACATCTCGGACTACCTGCATTGCAATGGTCCGTTCAACAACATTCTCAAGATCCAAAGCATCTATCATGCCTGGCTCGACTCCGCACTTCTTTCCAACAGCATGCAACAGATCACGAACTTTAAGTCTGAAATAAATTTAAAAAACTTTTAAATCTTTTTGTAGAAAACAGTTTCGAGAGAAACTGTTGGTAAAAAAATAATTACATTCTAGAAAAATATCTAAAAACTAGTTAGCTAAAACAACAAATATTCAAACACCTACGTTTTACCACCAAACCAAATTTTCGTGGAAGCCGCATTCTTCATCTTTTTTCCGAGGTAGTGCAGCTTCTTCATATATTCGGAACCAACGTCTGAAATTCTTACGATGACCACCAAGAGCAAAGGGTGAGGAGCGCAAAACAACCTACCTATAGCTATAGTAGTTATTGCCAGTCCTAAACATACATACAAAAACGTTATGGGTAAAAATGCTACCCTAAAAATGAGCGATTCACAAATTATGTAAGAAATTACTTGGTTTTGAAAAATGCGCACCTTGTAGGGACAAGTTGACCAAAATCTATTGCAGTAAGGCACAAAAAGTTAAAGTAAAGCCCGTTGAAGAAATCTATCTGTAATAATAAACTGTGAAGGATATAACCATATTATCAAAAAACCCTTAAACAAGATATTGTCTGACTCCAACAGAATTTTTGTTGTACTGTTTTTTTAACAGAAATTTATCTTACCTGTCCGTTTAGTGCTGGCAGTAGTAAAGCGCCCATAGCAACGTAGATTAAAAAGGCAATTAGTAGGGCGAGAGATGTTACTTGAATGGAAGACTCCTGTAAATTCAATCAATTATCGATCAACTTATTCTTTGGGTCACCTGCTGACAGTTAATTAGTCACTACAAGCACGAAGAAAATTATCTTGCCTAAAATTTTACGAAATGCTTCTCGTTTGCTTCCTATGCTCTTTGCATTACGTTTTTGGATCAGAATCATTTTGAACATTGCATAATCTACATTTTGTTACCTTATACTGCTTTCCGGATAGTGAAGCTCGTGACATTCGCCGTTGTGTGCGATAAGCTTCGAGCTGGAATGTGTCGGGTAATAGCAGTTTCCACGACAATAACGAGATGAACGCAGCCGTGATCAAATTATAGAATGCGTCAATTTTTAGTATTCGCCACTTTTACCTTCCTTCTAGAGTCTCCAGCGAAATTATTGAGGTATTGTCCAACATTTGCAATTATAATCATCGTAATTGGAATACCACAAATCCCGTATACAATACAAAACAGTCGTCCAGCATAGGTAATTGGTGCAATGCGATTGTAGCCTTAATGAATTAAGCCCTATTATTAGGTCTACATTGTTTTGTTAGTTACATTAGCCATAAGCACAGGAATCTTACCAAGAGTTGTGACAATTCCAAATCCATAAAGAGTCGCCGTAACAAATGACCATTCACTGCGCTCATCTCTAAAATTAAGTTGTATAGATAGTTTAATTTTGATAAAATGGCCTAAGAGTTCGTATTTTTCAAACTTATGAATTCTTTATGGCAAATTACCGGCCACATTAAACCTCAGATGAAAAGTCCCATTCTATCATGTATAGTAAGACTTTAGTAAGCTCGATTTGCTGTGATTTCTAATACAAAATCCGAAGACACATTGTCTCAAGAGCAATTTAGTTAATGTAAAAATATGTTTACTTCTTCAATATTCAGAGCTTAAATGAATTTTTTTCCACTGAAATTCGAGCTGTTCTGTTTTTTCCATTTCACATCTAGCCTAGTGCCATTAGTAGCCTGCTAGGTTATGAACATGAAATCTTCCAAATATGATTTCTCCAATCGACACAAAACTTACCTCTCCGGCTCGTAGCAGTTAGAGATTTTGATGGCAGTCGCATTTCGCCACGGTTCTTCCAATGACAATGGCGATAACTTGGAGATTAGCTGCAATGATACTTTTACCAAATGTCGTTCCTGAGTTTTTCTATACTCTGGCTCTCCTCTTCTCAATCATTTTATATGCGCCTGGTTAAGCATGTCTATTAATTTCGTTTTTTTATGAGGCGTGTGGGGTACCCTCAGAAGGGGTTGAGTGGAGAAGGCTTAAATATCTTATAATATTGTTATAGGGTAATTTGATTATGTTACATCCTTGGCTGTGGAGTGGTACGAATTTTATAGGGCTGCATAATAAGTGCCTATCTATGAGAATCCTAAAATGATGATGAGTAGTTCCCGAATTGATACAGCCTTATCTTTTGGGCGAAGCTTTACTAACATGCTTTTTGGATCAAAAATAACAGGAACAGATGGAAGACAAGAGGTGCTTCGGGCAAAAATAAAAAACCCATATGAGAAAGGTTAAATAATATTTGTTCTTACTAGTACTGTTGTTTTTTGCTCTTATGGCTTAGAGGAGTTCGGGTAGATAAGGACTTATGTGCTGTTTGATAATGATTGTGATTGCGAAACATTAATTCTTATTTCAGAATCTATTGAGTTTTGAGACAAATTCATGCCGACTTTTTCAAAATAAAAAATCCAAACTGAAAGTTTTGGCAAGTTGTTCATTTTTAAAGGGACAAGTTTCCTTCTACAAGATAACATACATGGTTTCCATCGACGTAACTGCTATGCCAAATTTAAAGTGACTGGCAAGTTTAAAGGACAAAATTAAGCTCAGGTGGCAGTTTAGCACTTTTGGAATATCCAGACTCTACTGTAATGCTACCTTTTAAGATAATTTGATAACTGTAAACCTGTTGAATTCTTACGGTGGATATGCCACAGTAAGACTACAGTGAGTGTACGTAGCTGGGGGTCAAAAGCGCGGATTTGTTTGAAAAGCGGTTTGATTGGGTTCATCGGTATGCTGATTATGAAAATCATACTCGCATCGCACAATGAGCCCTCATTTAGAATTAGAGCAAGCGTGTGAAGAAAAGAGCAAAGTAGCTGACCTGCACGAAAAGGAAAAATTAAATAACTTCTTGTTGTTCGCACGAAATGGCTTTTACATAGGAGGTTTCATAGTTAGCATGTAAATTAATTAAGGCAGACTACTTTTCAGGCGAATCAGTGTTTTTTCCATGGTCTGCTTGCATGTCCTACCGTAGTTCCACTGTAAGATCCTATTATGGGAAATGCTTGCAGCTTTCGTAAGCAGCATAGCCAGTTATGCGAATTCTTTGCAATCCAAGAAACTGTCAGGTGAGCTTTTTAGGCCTTTGAAAATACGGTTTTAATCACTTTTCATTTGAAAAAGCCGAAAATGCTGGACAAGCCGAGTGCTTTTAAAAGGTAGCTCCCACTTCCAAATAACATATTGCGTTGTCAAAACTTTCGGTTTCTTAGAATTTTTTGACGTTGAGAATAACGGTACGAACTTACGCGACAACTCAATACGTTTGCCGATCACTTCTGCAACGAGAACTATAAATCAAACTTTAGGAAACAAAAGAAAATATTTAGATTTACTACGAAAATCTTGAGAACACTAGGATTTTTGTTAAAATATTAGCTTCCTTTCTGTTATGATTTAAATATTGTGAACGCCTTCTCAAGTTTGAATTGTTACCAGAAACGAGTGGTTTCAATAAGAAAGCCTTAAAGGACTCCGTAAGAAGTTGTACTTATGTCTTTCGCTTGCAGTTTTTTATTCCTAAATATAGCCGCTACATCCTTAATAAGCTCAGCCTACGTTACGAATGTTTAAACTCAATAAGGAAAACATTATACTAGTGGTGCACAAGCATTCATACCTTAAGAACACAGCGAATCTTTTCTTGACGTGTTTCTTCCTGGTGACGTTGAAAAGCTTCAGCTTCCAAACGATTAAAAATGAAACCACCCGCAAAAGCGTAAGCAAGTACTAATAGGAGCAATGAGCAGTGTAGTGTGAACGGTTTTGCTTTCTGTAAAAAGAATTAGAGAATTTTGGAAGAAAAATCGCATCAAACCAGTCTTTTCTTTACTGCTTTCAGAGTAAGAAGCGCTTTTCAGACTACTCTTAACTGAGTACTAACTGAGCGTCTAAATACTCCGCAATACCGACCGATACCTCGAATCTATTCTTCTGCTGTAGATTGTGCATATGAAGAAACTGAAATGACCGGAATTAAATCGTTTCGATTCTGGCGACGAGAGCAATGCAAATCGAATTACTGGATGGTTGATGTGGGGCTTGACTATGAGTATGGCACGTCGGGCTTAGCTACAAGTATGATAGGACGGTAAGCGATTAACGGTG